GCCAGATACTAAGGAGAAGAAACTCCTCAAAGCCAAGAAGGCTGATGCTGGTGGCATTCTGAAAAAGGGTAACCTCAAGGCTAAGAAGCCCAAGAAGGGGGAGCCCCACTGCAGCTGCAATCCTGTCCTTGTCAGAGGAATTGGCAGGTATCCCCCATCTGTCATGTATTCCAGAAAGGCCGTATACAAGAGGAATTACTCAGCTGCTAAATCGAAGGTTGAAAGGAAAAAGAAGGTTCTTGCAACCATTACAAAACCAGTTGGTGGTGACAGGAATGGCGGTACCCAGGTGGTTAAACTTCACAAAATGCCTACGTATTATCTTACTGAAGATGTGCCTCAAAAGCCGTTGACCAGAGCAAAAAACCCTTCAGTCAGCATGTGAGAAAACTGGGAGCCAGCATTACCCCTGGGACTTCCGATCATCCTCACCGGACGCTGGCAAGAGGGTAATTTTCCTGAAGCAGCTGGTTAGTGGCTTGTTACTTGTGACTGGACCTCTGGTCCTCAATTGAGTTCCTCTACAAAAAACACACCAGAAATTTGTCATTGCCACCTCAAATTTGGATACCAAAATTGATATCAGAGATGTAAAAATCCCAAAACATCTTACTGTTGCTTACTTCAAGAAGAAGCAGCTGCGGAAGTCCAAACATCAGGAAGGTGAGATCTTCCACACAGAAAAAGAGAAATAAGAGATCACAGAGCAGCACAAGATTGATCAGAAAGCTGTGGACTCACAAATTTTACCAAAATTCAAACCTTAGCTCGTGGGCTACCTGCTATCTGTGTTTGCCCTGATGAATGTAATTTGTCCTCACAAATTGGTGTTCTAAATGTCTTAAGAACCTAATTAAATAGCTGACTACAAACAAAACAAAACAAAACAAAACAAAACAAAACAAAACAAAAACCTACAAATAGAGCTGCCACATGACCCAGTAATCCCACTCCTGGGTATATATTCAAAGGAAAGGAAATCAGTGTGTTGAAGAGATGTCTGCACTTCCATGTTCATTGCATCATTATTCACAATAGCCAAGATATGGAAATTAACCTAAATGTTTATCAATAGATAAATGGATATATACAAAACTGAATACTATTTGGCCATTAAAAAAATGAATTCCTGCCATTTTTGACAACATGGGTGCACCTAGAGGACGTGATGTTATGTTAAATAAGCCAGGCACAGAGAAACAAATAACAAATGATTTCACTTACATGTGGCATCTAAAAAAGTTGAACTCATGCAAGTAGAGTAGAGTGGTGGTTAACAGAAGCCAGGGTGCCGGGGAGAAGGGGAAAAGGGAGATGTTGGTCAGTTATATAGAAGAAATAATTTCTGGTGTTCTATTGCACAGTGGGGTTACTATAGGTAAGAATGACGTGTAGTGTATTTCAAAATAGCAATAAGACAGATTTTTGAATGTTCTCATCACAAAGAAATTGTAAATATTTGAGGTGATGGATATGCTAATTACTCTGATTTGATCACTACGCCATGTATGCATGTATCAAAACATCACATTGTATCCCATAATTATGTACAATTATTTTTGTCAATTAAAAATAACAAAAGAGGAAGCAAGAAAAATAGGAGCAGAGAAGACACAATGCATTCATTTCCTATTGTTGTGTAACAAATTACCATAAAATTAAAACGGCATACATTCATTATCTCACAATGCCCAGACCATAAAATTAAAACAGCATACATTCATTATCTCACAATGCCCAGGGTCAAAAGTCTGGAACACTTTCAACTGAGGCCTTTCCTCAAGCTCTTGCAAGCCTGAAATCAAGGTGTCAGCTGTCTATTTCCTCATATGGAGGATTAACTAGGGAAAGATCCACTTCCAACTCCTTCCCTTTACAGTTGTGGTAACTGTCATTCTACTCTCTCTCTTAATGAGATCCATTTTTTTAGCTCCCACATATGAGTGAGAACATGCAATAACTATTTTTCTGTGCCTGGCTTATTTCACTTGATATGACCTTCACTTCCATCCATGTTGCTGCAAATGACAGGATTTCATTCTTTCTTATGGCTGAATAATATTCCATTGTGTATATGTACCACATTTTCTCTGCTCATTCATTCATTGATGGGAACTGTTGGAAACTGAATTCCTCTTCAAAGGTTCTTCTTGTCCTCTATTTTCAAGGCTTAGCTTCCTTGCCTCCTTGCTGCTAGTTACGGTAAACAACCTTCTAGCCATTCCTAATCTGTAACCTTCCAGGCATTCCCAATCTGTAATCCATATCCATTCCCAATCTGTAACCCACATCCATTCTCAATTGGTAACCCACATCCATTCCCAATCTGTAACCCACATCCATTCTCAATTGGTAACCCACATCCATTCCCAATCTGTAACGCACATCCATTCTCAATTGGTAACTCACATCCATTCCCAATCTGTAACCCACATCCATTCCCAATTGGTAACCCACATCCATTCCCAATCTGTAACCCACATCCATTCCCAATCTATGAACTACATAACCCACATCTGTTCCTTATTTGGCACCCTTAGTTCTGAAACTGCTCTTCCCACAGCTGTAGCCCCTACCCCTGCTTCATTTGAAGTAGCCAATCTGAATCAGTTTAGATTGTGCAGTATGACCCCAGCCAATGAGGATGAGACACAGTAGCAGGGGCTGATTGCATTAGGAATAAAAACGCCTTCCCTCCTTTATTTGGTGTACTCTCTTGCAGTGATCAGAGAATGAGCAGCACCGTTCTGCAGAAGTACATTTGCCGTGCTGAGAAATCCTTTATGTGAGTGCTCCTTTTCTTCGTGATTCCATGTTCTTATTTTAAAGAGGCCCTTAGGTTGATTATATGTCTTGGCTGTTATGCATAGTGCTGTGATAAACATGGCAGTATTGGTATCTTTACAATATGTTTATTTCCTTTCTTTTGGAATATGCAGTAGTGGGATTGCTGGATGATAAAGCAGTTCTATTTTTAGTTTTTTGCGGAACCTCCGTACTGTTCTCCATTGTGGTTTTATTAATTTACATTCCCACCAACAGTGTATGAGGGGTCCCCTTTCTTCACATCATTGCCAGCACCTGTTATTGCGTGTTTGATAAAAGCAACTTTATCTAGATTAAGATAGTACCTCACATTAGTTTTGATTTGCATTTTCCTGATGATTAGTAATGTTGAGCATTTTTTTTTTTTTGATGTATCTGTTGGCCATTGTATGTCTTCTTTTGAGAAATGTCTATTCAGGTATTTTGCTCATTTTTTAATTAAATTATTTGTTGGGTTTTTTTGCTATTGAGTTGTTTGAGCTCCTTATAAACTCTGGATATTAATCTCTTGTCAGATTGGTAGTTTGCAATTTTTTTTAACATTCTACAGAGTGTGTCTTCTTTCATTTGTTGATTGTTTCCTTTGCTGTGCAGAAGCTTTTTAGCTTCATGGAATCTAATTTGTCTATTTTCTGCTTTGTTTGCTTGTGCTTGTGAGGTTTTACACAGATGATCTTTGCCCAGATCAATGTCCTGGAGCATTTCCCCAGTGTTTTTTTCTAGTAGTTTCACAGTTTTTGGTCTCAGAATTAAGGCTTTAATTCATTTTTGTGTGTGGATGGTAAGAGATATTGATCTAAGGTTTATTGTTTTGCATATAGTTAAACAAATTTCCCAGCACCATTTACTAAAGAGATTGTCCTTTTCCCATTGTATGTTCTTGGCACCTTTGTTGAAGATAAATTGGCTGTAAAGTTGTGGATATATAAGTGGATATTCTGTTCTACTCCATTTGATCTATGTGTCTATTTTTATGCCACTACTGTGCTGATTTGGTTACCATAGCTTTGTCATAAACTTTAAAGTTGTACAGTGTGATGCTTCCAGCTTTGTTCTTTCTTCTTGGGATTGCTTTGGCTGTTTAGGTTCTTTTATGCTTCCACATAAATTGTAAAACTTTTTAAAATTTGTGTGAAGAATGTCATTGGTATTTTTATAGGGATTTCATTAAATCTGTAAATTGTTTTGGGGTAGTGTTGTCATTCTATAATATTAATTCTTCCAATTTGTGAACATGAAACATTTTTTTATTACTTGTGTCCTTTTCAGTTTTATTCATCAGTATTTTTTAGTTTTCTTTGTATAGATCTTTTACTTATGTGGTAAATTGATTCTTACATATTTTATATTCTTTGTAGCTATTGTAAATTTAATTTCTTTCTTGATTTCTTTTTCAGATTGTTTGCCATTGGCATATAGCAATGCTACTTTTTAAATATTATATGTTAAGTTTGTAGCCTCTAACTTTACTGAATTCATTCAACAGCTGTAACAGTAATGTTATCATTAATTATCTCCAGTAAAAACCAGGATATATTTTGGTTTTTTAATTTTTTTAGTTTAATATGTTTTTTAAATTTTATTTCAGGTTCTGGGGTACATGCACAGGTCTGCTATATAGGTAAATTGCATGTCTCAGGGGTTTGTCATACAGATTATTTTGTCACTCAGGTGATAAGCATAGTACCCAACAGGTACTTTTTGGATCCTCAGCCTCCTCCTACCCTCCACCCTCAAGTGGGCCCTGATGTCTGTTGTTTCCTTCTTCACATCAATGTGTACTCAAAATTTAGCTCCCACTTATAAATGAGAACAGGTGGTGTGTGGTTTTCTGTTCCTGTGTTAGTTTACTTACAATAATGGCCTCCAGCTCCAACCATGTTGCTGTAAAGAACATCATCTCATTCTTTTTCATGGGTGCATAATGTTCCATGGTAATATGTACCACATTTTAATTTTTATCTAGTCTACTGTTGATGGGCATTTAGGTTGATTCCACATCTTTGTAATTGTGAATAGTAGTGCAGTGAACATACATGTGCATGTGTCTTTCTGGTAGAATGATTTATATTCCTTTGGGTATATACACAGTAATGGGATTGCTTGTTCAAACGGTAATTCCTCTTTAAGTTCTTTGGGAAATCACGAAACTGCTTTCCACAATGGCTGAACTACAGCCGAGTGTATTACATAGAAGTCAGAGACATTTGCCTCCTCCCTCTTCAAGGGACCTTAAAACTGTAATGCCTATATGAAGATGAATTGGCAGAGATCAGCATCTCAGTATAGGCAGGACATCATGCCCTGCTGTCAAAGGCCAGGAATAGGGGAACAGAGGCCAGTGAGAGCAGTGTGGATTGACCATCACACTAGCTGAGGCCAGCAGCTGTGGCTTAGTTGGCTCCGCTGGTAGTAATGGAGGAAAACAGTGCCTTCTGGTGAAACTCAACTTCCACAGTGATGGAACCTAAGGTTAGCAGAGGTTCTGGGCCCCTATAGTGTATCTCCAGAAATGATGTTTGTTTGAATGCATGTAAGACGTTCTCTAGGGACTTCAGGAAATATTGGTTAGAGGAAGATGTGATGCTTTTCAAGAGACTTGGTGTTCCTACACGAACCAAGTGAAGGCCTAGAATTGGCAAAATTCAGAGATTAATGTTAATGTAATCTCAGTTGTCCTAGAATGTGAGATGGTCAGAGATATTTGGAAACATCAGGATTTCAGAATGGAGGTGAAGTCACTAAAAATTGTTGGTAAATTTTCATTTTTGTCATATTCATTTTGTCAAAAATTCAAAGCACCGTGGAAAGAGTTTTTAATAGTGATAACTAGGAAAACATTAAGCCAGATATTTTACACAAGTAAATACTAAATAGCAATAAAAACAAATGAACTATAGCAACATGAAACAATATGGATAAATCTTAGAAATATAACATGAAGAGAAAAATACTAAAAAAATTACCTACAACAATATGGTCTTTAACTTATAGTTAAAACTAATACAGAAATATATTTAAGGAACACATAGATACATTACTACGATAGAAAGAGGAGAGCAGCAGAATAATAAACATAAGATTTAGAATGGCTTCTTGTCAGATGGAGTGAGACGGAGGAAAAGAATGGGAGAAGCCACATAGATAGAGTAGGTTATTATCTCGGGGTTAATGGGTGCTTGTAAGAATAAAAACTGACTAGAAATAGATCACATACGGGAAATGATGAGACTATGTCACAAAGCAGAAATCACAATTAATGTGATTATTTATATATAAGGTCTTTGCAGTGGGGATGCAGGTCACATCTGAAACTAGCAGAGCCTTTAATAAAGTGCTGGGGTTATTTTTCATCATATCTTAAGGTAATTTGGCTGGGAATGTCACTCTGTAAGCACAAAAATGCACTTCAGATAGAATCACCTTAAAATCTTGTTCTATAACTTGTTTTGGTTATTCCCAATATGGTGGCAAGGATACAGCATGTGCACCAAAACATCAGCAATGCCACTTCTAGCCACACAAAAAAGGAAAGAAAATATTTGGAGCAAGTTGTTTATACAAAGATAGCACATTAACAGCTTACAATTACCCTTGAATCAAATGGTCATGATTGTGCCCTCGTAGCCCTGGCTAGAACATTTCTCTCTCCTCTAATTCTACAGCCCTAGGAGCTGAGGGCCCTTCTGCCTTGCCATGTGTCTCCGCTGTGAAAATAACATAGTGCTTGCTCAGAGGCTGCCCACTCTTTTCCCAAGGAACACACAGACTCGGGCACAAGGGAGATTTGCAGACCTTTTGCACAACCTCACATCCCCTGCAGCCCAGCCTCATAGGAGGCAGAGTCTGGACAGAGGGATGATGTGTGGTTGGAGAGAATAGAAAAAACTGGTGCTGACTGTTTCCTGTGGGCCACTCTGGGTAAGGGGCTAGTGGTCTGATGCCAGTGATACACATGGTACATTCTCATAGTTTTCTTCATCATCTTCGGGCACCCTGCCTCTGTTGCTAGCCTGCCTGGCAGAGTCATCTAGGTGTATCTTCTTCAACTCTGAATACAAGACTGTGAGTTCCTGGTGGAAAAACAAAACCAAAACCAAAATGTAAGTGCCTAAAGACAGGTAAGGAAGGCCAGAGAGGAAAAAAAGCCAAGAAATGTGACTCACCTCATCCTTCTGATGCATCCGTGGACAATTAGCTGTTGGGTGGGAGCAGCAAAGAAAAGTATTAAACTGTGGGCAATATATTCCAACTTACAACCTACACACACTGCGTTCCAAGCCAATCTTCTTGATTTGCTTGATCTCTTGACTGTTTCCTCTGCTGGATTCTTCCAAAGCCACATAGTGAAAGTACTCCCCCAAGCACAAACACTAGTAAAGACTTTCCTTTGCCCACCAAATGCTCAGAGCAACTGTCATAACAATTTCCTTTTTGCTCCTCTGCTCATCATAACCCCAGAAGGATACCCACCCCCAACCCACTGCAGACTTCTATGGCGGCATTGATCCTCTCAGAGAAGGAGGCAGATATGAGTCATTTCACTTTGCACAGGGAACTTGGAAGAGGCCAGAGAGGAGATTGGCATTCTAAGGACACATGGCAATTTCCCAGGAAGCCAAAGAGTTGCATTGGAGCATTGAGAAAATTTAGTGTGTGTGTGTGTGTGTGTGTGTGTGTGTGTGTGTGTGTTTTCTACCTTTCCAAGGGGCTCTTTGTATCTCTTTTATTTGTGCAGCCAATAAGCATTTACTAAGCAATGGGCTTCTATTAGGCATTAGTTAAGTTATAAGGAGATAAAGAAATGACAACTCCTGGCCAACATAGTGAAACCCCGTCTCTACTAAAAATACAAAAATTAGCTGGGCAGGGTGATGCAAGCCTGTAATCCCAGCTACTCAGGAGGCTGAGGCAGGAGAATTGCTTGAACTCAGGAGGCAGAGGTTGTAATGAGCCAAGATAGCACCACTGCACTCCAGCCTGGGCGACAGAGTGAGACCCCCCTCTCAAAAAAAAAAAAAAAAGAAAAAAAAAAAGAAATAACAGAAACTCAGTCCCTATAATTTTGAAGGGGAGAAATGGACATAGCAACAAATGTGAAAAGCATTATGGGCACCAAGATAGAAACACATATTGAATTATGTTGTTGCCATAAAAGATAAATGGCTCCTCCCAGATTAGAATATGGGAAGGGCAGTTGGCATCAGTGTGAGTTTCACTGTGGTACCTGAGCTATGTTTTGAAATGTGAGCAAGGGTCACCAAGTAGACTAGTGGCAAGGACATTTCAGGACAAGTAAGGAACGTGAGCACCAAGCATAAAGATGCCAAGAATTCAGTATGGCTAGAGGAAGGGCAGTAGGCAAAGCTTGCGGGAGGGGCCGGCACGCAGAAGGCAAGGATCATGCTTTGGAATGGATGTCATTGAGGGCAGTTAATCTAGGCAATGTTGTGAACAACAGGGCACCTCAAAGGGATTATGCTAGAAATAGGTTGTGGAAAGGTTGGAGGAGAACAATACTAGAAATAAAGAGACCAGTTAAAAGAATGACAATTGTCTACACGTTGATTATTCACTCGTTAAAACAATATTTTAGGGAGCCTAAAGGTTTCCAAGCATTGGGCTGTGAATATATTAGTGAAAAAGTCATAGTGTCTGTCCTCAAAGAGTTTATGGATAATGGTGGCAATGTGGAAAGGTAAGAAGAAATGGATAGAGTCTGCAGCTGACAACACAGGAGGCAAGCAATGCCTTGCACGTTGGGACTTACATTTGAAACAACTCTGATCAGAGACCCCTTGCTGGATTTGATAACACACTGCCACCTCACCTCTATTTGCCTGAAAGGCATCTCACCTGAATTTTCTTTTGTATGCTGGATGCTCCAGATCTGGGAATAAACCTGGTTGCTATCTCCAGGATTTACTGAGAAGAGATATCATAGTTGACTGTAGTCAAAAGCCCATATTCTGGACTCTCCGTCCCAATCACCAAATTTATAACCACCCTCTATCCCCAGTGTAATGCTAGGAATGCCATTTTTACATTAGTGACAGGGCCATGGCTGTCCCTCAATCCCTCTTCCCTCTTTAGCAACTCCCTGGAGCCTTCTGCCCCCTAGGGAGTCCTCACCATTGCTGTACATTGGCTCCAGCTCCATTAGAGCTAGTGGTTCAGAGTAAGTGGGCTCTTGAGGGTCTATCCTGGAAGACTTGGACAAGGCAGGCTCCTGACACGTGCTAGAACTGTAACTGTGGCAGAGAGGGAGAGAAAATGGACAAAAAAGATCTGTGGGTTACAAAGAATTTCAGGGAAATCGGTATCCAGGAAGGCCTGCAGTTCAGCACGATTCCAGTAAAAACATTGCATCTGCTTCTGCTTGGCTCTTTCGATAAAGTATCAGAAGTATGGCGTAAGATGAAGCCCAGGGAAGTATTACAAAACAGGACAGCCAGGGCAAGGTCAGAGGGCAAGGCAGCCTCAAGGCCTCTTCGAAAGGCAAAAACTCATAGCTGATTCATTTTAAATATTATTTTTGAAGATATAAATGCTTAAACATTGATACGCAAAGACCTCCGCTTACAGAACTGAAACCTCGTCTTTTTTAAAAAGCACCTTTCAACTTCCCACCTCATATTACCATAATCTACCTTTCCTACAAGATGCCATGCAGGCTCTTCAAGTAAAGTGGATTTTTTTCCAATTTCATTTCCTTCTGCAGTTAATACTGTGAATTGAACGTTGCCAGCATTTAGCAATAATTTCCCAAATGACTGGAGGACTGAAGAAGGAAATGAATGCATTGTAGCCCGATGAAAGATGATGCCATCAGCACCTCAGTGGTCAAGTCACTGCTGGAACTCTTTAAGGAAGTAGATAAATTAGTACGGATAGCCAATAACATGTATTCTGTGTTTAAGTAGACACAGTGAGTATCATTCACAAATATAAGTGAAAATGACATTCACTTATATCTACTTTTTTACTTTGTAAGAATGTAAAAATGTTAATAGGAAATCCATTCAAATCTTTAAAAAATTCTAAAGAAGTCTTGTGCATATAAATAAATCATGAAAATGTTGACAGCACAAGAAGCAGAGACCTCACCTAGGTGTTCCAGGGGCAGAAAGTCCTCCTGCAAAACAAAGGAAGGTTGGTGGTAAGTGAGCTGTGTGTCTAGTGAACTCTGTTGGAACATTCCTAGAAATCAGACTCATTCTAGATCTCAGCTGTGGCAAATCTCAGGGATTACCCAGCTCTACCCTCTTTGCTCCCCTCCTTCCTCACCCTATCTTATGTTATAGGTGAGGAAGGTGAGGTCTTGAAAGGCGTTTGCCCGGAATCACACTTACTCTGAATCATTTTTCAATCAGTAATAGGTGAATAGTAACTCTAAGTGACTGTTACTGAGTAGGTCACAACCTGGGCCAGGTGCTTCCCCCAGACCCACTCCTTCATCCTGACTGCAGCCCTGCAAGGTGGAGACAAGGAGGCTGAGGCCTAGAGGGGCCAAGGGATGCTCAAAATTGATACAGAATTCTTACACGGTTATGAATCAATGGGACTACCATGATAAGCTCTACCTTCTCTTTTTCTAACTGTGACCCCCTCACTCCTGCAAATCTATTCCAGCAATACTGAACTGCAGCTCTTTTGGGTATATAACGGCTTTTCCATACCTCTTCTCTCCTTTTTCACTTGGCTAATTCCAATACTTTTCCTCTAGAGCTTTCCCTGATGCCAACAGGCTGCATTAAGTAAATTGTTTCCATGCACATAAGCCCATGTAATATTAAAATTACTTTATTGTTTTGTAATTATTTGTATCTGTGTTTGCCTCTAATTCTCCCTTTAATGAGAGGATGTGCTACTTGAGGCTGTAAACCTTGTCCTTTTTTTTTTAAATTCCCAATGTCATGCCTAGCAATTAAACATACTCAACAAAGATTTGTTTAAAAACTGAACAAAGTATGTACTTTGAGGACTTAAAAATAATAAATTGACAATTTTATAATAGGTGATTACCTGTTAGAAGTCTATCCTTGAAGCCCACTCTATTAGCCTTAAAAATATGACAGTTTCCCATCATCACGGAAGTATTGAATCTTTCCAGCTTACCCCAATACAAGCCTTATCCCAGGTTCCTATCTGTGTCCTTTGCCTTTTTAAAATATGTGGCTCTATATCAGTCTCATTGACTTAGAGAATACAAGTCATTGCTCAAAATAAATATACTAGCCTTGACTTTCATGAAAAATAAGTAACTCCCTGTTCCTCAAGGGAGTTGTCCTCCTGAGTGAAGCTAGAGGGGTATGATCAGGATCTGGTCCTGAATTTTCTCAGAGCCATCACAATCCATATCGAGCAATAACCATATCTTTCCTGTGGGTGGTTAGCTCAGACCCAGACTGCATCTGGGAGTCAATCTATCTTCTCATTTGTAAAAGAGAAAACTGAGACCTCGAGAGGTGGCTAGTTATTATTCAAGCTAATATTCCTTGAAGACATATGGGCCAGAACGGTGCTAAGCAGTTTACCTAGGTTGTTTCATAGTACCTAAAAGGTAGATACTGTTATTATTATAACCACTTCATACCATATCAAGTTGTCAAGTTTTATTACTGGAATTTCAACACAACTAGATTTACTATAGAGTCAATAAACCTATCACCCCCTTTAGGAGTGATTCGCTCAGGCAAGGAGTAGAGCTCTTCACTTTTAAAAAAATGTAGAAGGGCTTAGCTCTTTCCCGAGAAGTCTTGTCAATGATGAGAAGGGAGACTTTGCTCTGAGGAGGTACAGTAGGCACAGACCCTCTGCTTGGTGAACTATCCCAATTTCTTAGTGACTTTGTTGTTTAAAATAATACTCCCATTAACATTCTGGAGGATAGTCCACCTGAGCTTCCATTCACATGGATCATTCAAAATGATGGTCAGTTTTCTTTCCTGGTGCGGTGCTGACTGACAGCCTCAACACTGAGATTCGAATGTCTTCCTCTAATATGTTATAGATTAGAAAATGGTATCCCAGGTGAACAGTGAATTGGGCGGTGGGGGGCGGAGGGGAGAAAAGTAATTTTGAAAGTAGGAGATGTGACTAGCCTTCTATAAGTAACATAATATCACTATTGAAGATGTATACTATAAATCCTAAATCAATCACCAGATTAACAAAACAAATAATTATTGATTCCAACAAGAAAACTTAACTATTCTAAATATGTATGCACTCAACATTGCAGTACCCAGATTCGTAAAACAAGTTATTCTTTCTCTACAAAAAAAACCTAGGCAGTCACAAAATAATAGTGGGAGATTTCAATATCCCACCAACAGAGTTAGGCAGATCACTGAGGCGGAAAACGGACAAACTCTGGCCTTAAACTTGACGCTTGACCAAATAGACCTAACACACATCTACAGAATATTCTACCCAACAACTATGGAATATGCATTAGTCTCACCTGCATGTGGAACATATCCTAAGATCAGCCACATGCTCAGCCGTAAAGAAGGTATCAATAATTTTTTTAATTATATCAAGTACACTCCTAGACTACAATGCAATAAAAATAGAAATAAATATCAAGAAGATCTCTCAAAACTGCACAAATACATGGAATTAGACAACTTACTCCTGAATAACTCCTGGGTGAAGATCAAAATGTATGTCATTTTAAAAATTATTTAAAATTAATGAGAATAGGGACACAACTATGGATGTCCACTATCAGCACTCCTATTCAAGATAGTACTGAGTCTTAGCCGGAGCAATCAGGCAAGAGAAAGAAATAAAAGGCATCCAAACAGGTAAATAAGCCAAACTATCTCTTTTCAATGCCTGCATGGTTCTCTAACTTGAAAACCCTAAAGCCTCTCCCAAGAGTAAGGTTTCAGGACACAAAATTAAGGTACAAAAATCAGTAGCATTTCTATACACCAACAAAGTCAGACAGAGTTAAATCAATGGCATATTTCCGCTTTGAATAGCCACAAAGAAAATGAAATACCTAACAAACGAAATAGCTAACAAAGGAGGCGAAAGATCTCTGTGAGAACTGAAAAAAAATTACATCACGGTGGCTCATGTCTGTAATCTCAGCACTTTGAGAGGCTGAGGCAGGCGGATCACCTGAGGTGAGGAGTTCTAGACCAGCCTGGCCAACATGGTGAAACCCCGACTCTATTAAAACTATAAAAATTAGCTGGGCGTGGTTGCGGGCGCCTTTAATCCCAGCTCCTAAGTGGAGGCTGAGGTGAGAGACTTGCTTGAACCTGGGAGGTGGAGGATGCAGTGAGCTGAGATCGCACCATTGTACTCCAGCCTGAGTGACATAGTAAGACTCCATCTCAAAAAAAAAAAAAAAAAAAAAAAGTCCCAGGCAGTGACAATGCTCATACCTGTAATCCCAGCATTTTGGGAGGCCTAGGTGGGAGAATCACTGGATCCCAGGAATGCCAGATTAGCATGGGCAATATAGTGAGACCTTGTCAAATAAAAAAATGAATGAAATCAACTGAAATGAAATCGAATCAAATTAGCCCGGCATGGTGGTGCACACCTCCTGTGGCTTGGGACAATCACTGAGTCCAGGAGATGGAAGATGCAGTGAGGTATGACTGCGCCACTGCACTCCAGCCTGTGTGGCAGAGCGAGACTCTGTTTCATAAAAAACAGGGTAGGACCTAGACACCCACCTGCTTTCCTTCGGGTCCTGGCACGATGCAGCAGAGCAGCAGCGGCAGCAATGCCCAGGATGCTGAGTGGTAGCGTGACTGCCGCCGCGGTAAGGCCTGCTCTGTTCCCAGAGGTTCCTAAGTGGAGGGAGCTGTACTTGAGTTCCAGTGGCACAGGTTTTGGATGTAGACAAAAACCATCTAAGTAGGGTGGGTATGTTCCAGTTTCTGATTCCTCCATTTGAATTATCTGTAGCATCATTTGTAATTTTCCAAACTATAGCACCCGAAAGGTATTTGCCAGCATCTAAGATTAAAATGTATTTCCTTTCCCTCTCCTGTATAAAATCAGTACCAATCTCCAGAAGTCCCAAGCCTTGGTGTGCATGTTCAAAACCCCCTTGGACAATCTAATTTGTGCTCATTTGGACAATCTGTCAGAGGACTATTTTATTTACCATAACAGTAACCTCTGGCCCAGGTAACATTGAGTGTCACTGCCTCACCGCGCTGGGCCCCCAAAACCTCATAAGAGTAGTTTCCAGAGTGTTCTGTAGTCAAAGAGAGGTTGGAGGAGGCATCTCCTACAGAGGGGGCAAAGCTGCTTCCCAGGGTGACAATCTCGTGATGAAACCAGTACAAGATTGGGGAGGAGCCTGCCAGGGCCTCACAGTGAAGCTCCAGCAGGTCCTCCACTGCAGCCTGCGCCCCAGGAGCCCTGAGAATGAGGACAGGGCGAGACGCTGGAACTGAGGGAGGTAAAATAATTCCCTGGCAGTTTTACTTAAGTAGGTATACAAAAGAACTTAATAAAGGAATATGCAGCATAGCCGAGTCGTAGGGACATGTGCCTGAATTCAGGAGAACCTGGGCTTGAATCCTGTCTCCTTTATTAGTTCCATAAACTTGATTTTTTTAAAGAACTTTTAAATTTCTCTAAGTTTTAGTTTAGTCCTCTGTAAAACTGAGCTAATGATACATCATATCTCAGACTATTGTAATGAGAATCATATTGTATGTAAAGTACTATAAAAATGTATTATTATTATTGATACAAATATAACTAACATCAAGGCTTCTAAACATTCCTACACCTGAATCTTAGATCTAAGACTGAGGCTTCCCTACCTATCTAAAGCAGGACCCAATCCTCTCTACCAAATCACCTTGCTTTATTTTTCTAGCTAACATTTAGCACTACCCAACATCTGTCTGTCTGTCTATCTATCTATCTGTCTTCTATCATCATTGTTTCATATGATTCCCCCAATAGGATGGAGACTTACCTGTTTATTTGTTATTTATAGCTGCTGGAACTTTGCCTGGCATGTAAAATTTATGCTCAATAATTGGTGATTGAATGGAAAATTGAATTGAACCAAATTGTCACAAAAATACACAGATACAGCTCTAGCAACAATGATGTCCATTTTAATGGACAATTATAGAAACGGCACAGTGGGAAGAATAGAAACCCCTTAATATGGCGTGTGAACCGTAAGACTGCTGGTTCTGCAAAGTTGTGAGGAAGACTGGATGACCTGATCCCTGTGTCATGCTTTAGATATCAGCTATGTGCTTTATTGGCCAGGGTAGCTTGATAAGGATCTTAAGCTCTGCTTTGCATCAGAGATGGGCTAAAGGGAATGAGTGTGAACGTGGGAACTATTCATTGAATGGCAATGATTAAACTTGAAAATGAGCCATCTGCTGGCTGCAAGGAAGGGCACCAGCTGCCTCATCGGGGTAGAGATGCCAAGTCCTGATATTGCAAGTGTAGAGTTCCTGCTAAATTGAAACTGATGGTTTGAATTTGTCCCTTCTGTATATCCTCTGCAACATGAAATGACCTGGGCGGGATGCAGAGGGCCTCAGGGGTAAGTCTTTTACAGGGTGCTTTGTGATCTCAGTGTTCCTTTCACCCACATCTCTGGGTGTTCATACTCTGGGAAGAGAGATTTCCAACCCGTTGCCTGCCTTCCTCTAGGGCTCATGAGACCTCTGGTTCTAGATGGATATTCCCCTAAAATCAAAGAATTCTAAGACTGAAAAAGACCATGGTTATTGTCAACTTAAGTGGTCTCCAAGATGGACCGTAAGGCAACCCATTGAAGTGTAAAGAAAATATGAGAATGTTTAAGAGTATTTCCTTTTGTGCTTGAAATTTAAAAAGAGATTCAGCTTTACTAATATTCATGGTGGTGCTCTTGCTCAGATAGATGTCACACTGTGTTTTAAGATAGGACAGGGTTTCTTATGAAGACAGGCCACCCAGGCTCAGAGGGCGGGACAGCAGTGCATTTGCTTAACTCTCAGCATATAAAGAAAGTATAATGCCCTTTTAGTTGGCTACTTGCATGTTTTTATAGATTATTCTATTTAAATCATAAAATGTATTTTTCTTTTTTTTCTTTCCTTTTTTTTTTTTTTGAGGGAGGGTCTCACTCTGTTGCCCAGCCTGCAGTGCAGTGGTGCAATCATGACTCACTGAAGCCTTGACCTCCTGGGCTCAAATGATCCTGCTGGCTCAGCCTCCGGGGTGGCCAGAATTACAGGAGCATGCCACCACACCTCGCTAATTTTTTTGTATTTTTAGTAAAGATGGGGTTTGGCCGTATTACCCAGGCTGGTCTCGAACTCCTGGGCTCAAGCAAGCCTTCCTTGGCCTCCCAAAGTGCTGTGACAGGCATGAGCCAAATCATAAAATCTTTACAATGTTTTGTAATGAGATTGGGGAGTGACCTCAAACCTTTTAGTATCACGTGAGAGTTCAATTATTTTGTGGCAAGGGTCTAAAAAGAGGAATTAGATGTAAGTTATGTGTTTTTCCATCAAGAAAAATTAGTATTTAATTTTTGTTGACTTTTTGGTAATTAGTGGCTATTGACAATGTTAATACTTAGCAGACACTTTAAAAAGTGACCTTTAACAGTACTCATATTGTTAATGCTTTCTAAACTCATGCTATGGAGATAATATTTTGGAAAATGGTTGTTAAAAATACTTACATTTCTATGTGGTCTTATTACTACAAATGTAAATATATCGACTTTCAAAATTTATATCTGCACCTTTAAAAATCTGTGGGAACAGAACATGGCAACTAGTTTATAACTCTTCCAAAGCTAAAACACATTTGATAGAAATTCAGCATGCAGTAGCTGGGCGTGGTGGCTCACACCTGTAGTCCTAGCACTTTGGGAGGCTGAGGCGGGCAAATTGCTTGAGCTCAAAAGTTCAAGACCAGCCTGGGAAACATGACAAAACCCCGTCTCTACTACAAATACAAAAGGAAAGCAGGGCATGGTGGGATGCCTCTGTAATCCCAGCTACTCAAGAGGCTGAGGCAGGAGGATTGCTGGAACTCAGGAGGTGGAGGTTGCAGTGAGCTGAGATCATGCCACTACACTCCAGCCTGGGCAATAAAGTAAGACTCCATTTCAAAAAACAAAACAAAACAAAAAACAACAACAACAAAAAAGGAAATTCAACATACAGCACTTCCCACTTAGTTTACAAGAACAATTAATGAACATCAACAAAAATATAAACTTATGAACCAAATTTCAATGAAAATCTTTGCATAATTAGACTATGGGATTGAAAAATGAGTATCATGGACTTGAAAGAGCAGCAGTGATGATCTGCTTCCACTTGAATCTAGATATATTGGTAAGATAAAGCTTTAAGCAATAACAGACACTAAAACTAATAGGAATAAGACCAAACTCAGAATCAAACCTCAAATAACTGTACCACCATAAGTTAACTAAGATTTACAAAATAAATGAAGCATAATCAATTATAATAATTTTAGTCAAATATTTTAAATCAAAGATTTTAAAATAATGTTTATTTCATTTTTTATCTTTCTTTTTTTCTTTTTCTTTCTTTCTTTCTTTTTTCTTTCTTTTTTTTTTTTTTTAACATGATCTCACTCTGTTGCCCAGGCTGGAGAGCAGTGGAGCAATCTTGGTTCATTGCAGCCTCAACCTCTCGGGTTCAAGTGATCCTCCCACCTCAGCCTCCCACATGTCTTAAGAGTACAGGCACATGCTACCATGCCTGATTGAGTTTTGTGTTTTTTGTAGAGACAGGGGTTTCTCCATGTTGCCCAGGCTGGTCTCAAACTCCCAAGCTCAAGTGATCTGCCCACCTCGGCCTCCCAAAGTGCTGGGATTACAGGCATGAGCCATTGCACCCAGCCCCTTATTTGGTTTCTATTTTTCTGCTTGTTTTGCAATGTGCCTGTTAAGTTAATACAGTAGTACATGTATATAGTTAATACACAAATATATGTGTATTAATATATACATAGGTGGGGTGTGTGTTAAACACTTTTGACAGAGAGTGATATGGGATCAAGAATTTTTGTACCTCCATGATTTGCTGGCTCAATTACTCTCTAAGGGAGGAAAATAAGCACAAGTCTAGTAAGAAGACTTACTCAAGGTTATACAAATGATATTTTCCTGTTCAAGACTAGAGTCTCTGTTTCAGCATGCTCTCTGGCATTCCCAGGTTTTAATACCTCCTTAAATCATTACCCAAGTTTGGCCTATAGGAAAGATTATTATTAACCAAAATATCATATGTGTTTTAATAATTTGGAATCATTGAAGAACAAGATTCCCAGGCAAAATCCAGAGAATGTAAGGGTTTGGGTTACTGGGAATTATTGCCACATCTCTTCTATTTTGTCATGTTCTCCTAGGTCCCAATGCCCTCTCCTATCCTCCAAATGCTGAGCACTTTGGGATAACCACGTCTTGGACTGGAGGTTCTCTCCTAAGTGGTTGGCCACATTGCTCATTGTTCTTAGGGGCTGGACATGGGAATTATGAGATGCTCTGGTGCCTCTGCTGAAGGAAAATTTTGTTTGGGGTATTGAAAACATAAGATTAAATGAGACCCAATCAGAAGGCATTTGGAGAAAGTGAGAAGGTTAGATAGGTCATTGGAATCTGGAGGCCATGAAAGAGGCCTGCTGCTGTGATGCCTGTGAGTGTCCATAAGGAGAGACACTTTAATGATCCAGGGAGCCAAGTGGAAACTTAGATCGAGATAGAGGCAGAAAACTGTGGTAAGGAGTGATCTGGTCATTTGTTCCTGGGCAAAGGAATTCAGAAATAAGGGCTTTCTGTGCCATTTTCCTTTGTCACTAATTGCTGACCCATCACATATTTGGTATTCTGGAAAGCCTCTGTGCCTCCACCAGAAAAAAAATGAGTGGGGTATATGGATGGCTATTGATGACAATTACAGAGGAATTAAAAAAAGAAAGGTATGGTCTAAGTTACTAAATGCGTAGTCACAAGGAAGAATCCCAGAACTCCCAGGCAGAGTTAGAAAGCGTGGGAAGTCTATTGGGATATCAACCAGCAAATAGCCCAGTAGAGCTGTTTGTGAAAAGACATGGTCTGTTGTATTGGCTGTTAACTGCTGTGGCTGTATCTTGCTTACCTGTGACGCTGAGACTCACTCTGTGACTGTGCTGGGCCCCCAGGCCATTATCAGCATCACAGAAGTAGTTTCCAGAATGTTCTGCTGTAAGAGAGAGGTTGAAGAAGGCTCCTCCTCCAGAGGGGGCTGAGCTGTTCCCCAGGGTGACATCCTTGTGATAAAATTGGTACAGGATCGGGGGAGAGCCTCTCTGGGCCTCACAGTGAAGCGTCAGCAGGTCCCCCACCACGGCCTGCGGCCTGGGAGTCCTGAGGGTGAGGACAGGGCGAGACACTGGAACTGAGGGAGACAAAAGGGCTGTCAGAGGATTCTGATGATGTGACAGATGCACGACCTCTCTCAAGGAGCCTAGCAATAGATACATCCCTTGTCCCTTGATCATTGTTTCCCACTGAACACATTTTTCTCATCTAAAAATCAGAAGCATTTCCCCAAAACAGTGATAAATAATCCTGGGTAATTTGTTTTCATGACCACTCAGTCTTCCCCACAAGAAGTAAGATGCTTCAACTTATTTCGCCATCTTTTCATCTCTGTCTCTCTGTCTCTCTGTCTCTCTGTCTCTCTGTCTCTCTCTCTCTCTCTCTCTCTCTCTCTCTCTCTCTCTCTCTCTCTTCTCCCCCCCCTCTCTCCCCCCACCCCCACCTTTCTCCCTCCATCCCTTCCTCCCTCCCTCCCTCTTCTAGGAGATCCTAGTGGTTGACAAAGAACGTAAACCCTGGCTTGCAGCTTGAGGCTATGGGGAAGGAATCAGAACTTACTCCTCACGGTGACTCGAATCCATGTGCTGAGGATGGGGCCGTGAAAATTGTCAGCTGCACAGTAGTATCTCCCTGCATCTCTCTCCTTCACAGTGGGGACCTGCAGCTCTGCCAACAGGGAACGCTGGGTCTTTCTACCCAGGCTTCTTACTGTTCCTTCTCTGTGCCAGGAGAATGTGACATTCCCTGAACCTTGGGCTACTGAGCAAATAAGGACCATATTTTCTCCTTCAATCAGCTGCCCTCCGGCGGGCTGGATCTCTAGATTCACATTAGACACAGGGACTCCTGGGAGAACACAAGATGGTATGTGAGGGTCCTGATGGCAGGGACCTCAAGGTCAAGGGGAAGGCTAGAGGTGCCATGAATAGCCAATAGCAGCAGGTGCTGCAGGCAGACACCCTAAGTAAGAAATAAGAAATTGTGTATACTATTATAAAGGAAACCACATCCCTCTCACTCCCACAATTCCCATCCTTGGGAAATGTGGGCACCAAGTCCATAATCTCCGTAAACCCAATGTTTCCTGATCACATTTTATACATACTTATCTCTAAGGAATCTTTGATGCGCCAGTGAACCACAGAGAACACCGGAGATCTATTTTGAAGATCAAAATAGAATCCAAACCCCTCTCCTATTCTTCAAGACTTCTCTAGATTTACATGCATGTCTCAATATCTTTATCCATTTCAGTCCATATTCATCTTCCCCTTTTCTCACTATTTTGTTGTGAATTTAGGTCACCCAATGGAAGCACCACAAGGGCCTCTTAAAACTGCATATGTTCCGCTGTGCTTCTAGCTGTCTGTTGGTTCATGAGAGAACCGACATTGTGCATCTCTGTAACCCCATAGGGTTGGGCACTCAGTAACTGATCAATAACTACTATTACCTGACTCAAGTGGAATAAAATTTTCTAGGGCTGTTAGATCAGAGAGAATTATACCAGAATAGCTGGACACCCATCTCTGTGATGTCCACCATCCCAGGGGTGCAGGAGATGGGGAGAGGTCACTGGTCTGCTCTCCTCTCCCCAGCTCTGACTCTGGAAGAGCAGCCCCTTGGATACTCACTCTGTACATGTATCTGAGATCTCAGGCTCCTTTTTTTGACGCTGTGAGTCACTGTCTCTGCCTCACACCAGTAAGATCCTGAGTCTCCTGTCCACATGGCAGGGATCTGGAGCTTGGGGGACCTGCTCCAGCCTGATCCGAGGGTCTGGCTGTCTCTGAAGAAGGAGAACTGGAGCTGAACATTTGGCTTCTGCGGAGAGAGCTGGGTCTCACAGGTCAGGGTCATGGCACTCCCTTCTATGGGTGTGGAAGAGCTGGCTCTCAGCACAGGATGTGGAAACAGTTCTAATGAAAAGAAAAAACATAGTCCCCGGGGTGGTGAGGCTCAAAGTTCCTGGAGAGATGCATTTGTGTTCTCAGCACCAGCCACCCAGAGATAGAGAAGCATGAAGAAACCATCTCCCTCCCATGGCTGAGCCATAAGAAGCACTTCATGAAATTCCCACTGGTAAACACCTTCCCTTTATCCTCAGTTTTCCTACCAAACCCAATAATCCACAGAAATCTAACCATTACCTTGAACTTGGATATTTAGGTAGTTTGAAGTTTCTTCATATTTTATTAGGAATATCGTCATCTCAGCAGTACAATGATATTTGCTATTGTCCCTGGAGACCGAATTCAGTTTGATGGAGTCTGAATTATAACTATTAGGAAGCCGTTTTCCATCCTTGTAGTAAACCTTGTTTTTGGCATATATGTCATCTTTCCCCTGACATCTCAGAGTGACATTATCTCCTTCAAAGACCGGATGTGAAGCCTGCAGGATCAGCCAGTCTGCAAAGAGCACAGGAGCACAGTCAGTTTATCCACTGCTGCTTCTGCCTTCGCTCTCATTTCTGCCCATGAGGCACGAACCACAGTTCTCTACACACCTGCAAATGGTTCCCACTCACATTGCCACATGGCCCCAACACTTGATTCTTCCTTGCCCTAGGAGAGTGAACCAGTTCCCAGAAAACATCCTTGAGAAATCCCCACACATCTTTACACAAAAGAGGAATCCTAGACCTGAACCCCTTTTTGCCTGATGGCCCCTGGGTCACCCACACTTCCTTGGAGGAAGGAGACGGATAGACAATCCAGCATCATGCCGCTCCGCTATCTCATTTTCCCCACTGGGTTCAGCATATCAAACATCCCCACATCTGCTTACAACTCTGCCTGTGCTCCCTGCATTAACCCAGCCCTCAGATACTCTGCCTGGTGGCTTGACTTTAGCCTTTCCCCTTCCTTTCCTCACCAGATGAAAATTCCACATGCACAGCGTCACTGAGGGAGGATCCTCCGGTCTTGCATTTGTAATTTCCAGACTCTGTAATTTGGATCTTGTTATGTCCTACTCTCCACGATTTCTTACCATGATACCACAATGTATTTCCCGGGGCTAGGGAATGGGATTCCCTGCATATGAGAGTCACTTTTTCTCCTTTGAAGGTTGTGGACCATGGAGGTTCGAGGAGAAGTTCTGCTTTTGGAGCTACCCCTGAGCAGGAAATAGAAAGACAGAGGCAGGAGAAGGTAAATGAGAGGTGGGCACAGAACAGGGGGAGCCCAACCTACAGTCAGGAGTTTTCCTGGACTAATTTCCAGTTGGGACCAGGGTGGAAAATGGAGCAGAAATAACCCGGGGAAATGCCTGGGAAAGAATCTGTTCTTCCTCACCTTTTTCCTGGACATGGGCAAAAGGGTATTATAGGGGAGAGGTCTTGGGCTCTTGGGATAGCTCAGAAAAGCTCAGGAGATGTGATTTGCTGTTGGGCAAACACTGTGAAGGCCTCAGAAGGTGGCTGATTCTGAAATTCTCTTGTCCTATACATTTCTGTCAAGATAAAGGTGAACCTGGGATGTATATACCTCAGAAGTAGTTTCTAGACTCCAGAAAATCACTTCCTCCTTGTTAACGTTTTTCTTTTTTTGAGACGGAGTTTCGCTCATTACCCAGGCTGGAGTGCAATGGCTCAATCTCGGCTCACCGCAACCTTCGCCTCCTGGGTTCAGGCAATTCTCCTGCCTCAACCTCCTGAGTAGCTGGGATTACAGGCACGCGCCACCATGCCCAGCTAATTTTTTGTATTTTTAGTAGAGACGGGGTTTCACCATGTTGACCAGGATGGTCTCGATCTCTTGACCTCGTGATCCACCCGCCTCGGCCTCCCAAAGTGCTGGGATTACAGGCTTGAGCCACCGTGCCCAGCCTCTTGTTAACATTTAATGAGTAAGATTTCTTCACTTGTGTTACTTTTATACCTTTCTCAGTTTGAGAGTCTATGGGGAACGCAACCTTACTCTCCATCTAAGTTGGACACAGTAAACAATGGAGGCATATAAAGAATTTAAATGGAGGCAGATGGGCTGCTTGAGAAGTCAGACTTGTGTATGGAATTGCAACTGACTGACAGGCATGGAAGTGAGGCGTGGCAGTGGCATGAACTCTTTTTGGAGATTTATAAGGATTCTGCTGTAGCATCTTCCTGCGAGAATGGGAGCTGTTTCTGTGTCCTTTGATAGCAGCACTAGCTTGGGCATACAGAGGGAGAGGTATTAGGGAATACAGAGATCAGATATGAGATGCCTTCATCATCAGCCTCTTGCCTTTGCCCTTTGTTCTGCGAATGTTTCCTTCCCCTCTTCTCTGAGGAATCCTGATAATGTGGGGGATTTAAAAAAAAAAACTGGAGACTGAAAAAGTCGGAGAAAACTCTGTTCACCCAATATAGTAGCAGACTGACCTCAGAGCAGCAGCACTACTGATGTGACACATTCCTGCAAGGGTTGGGACAGGCTGTGTGGGCTGAGGGGACCAATACCCAGAGACCAGAGGGGTATGAGAGGGAAAGAGAGGGGCAGCGAGAAGGAGAAACTTACGTGATTGTTCTCTTCCAGGAGCTGTGACGGAGCAGAAAATGAAAGATTAGCATGAAGTAATGTTTTCCAAATATTTTCAATCAGACACTCTCTGAAACATTTTCTAACAACCTACCCACAACCACTTCCTTTGTTTTTCCTTATCACTTCTTTGCTTCCTTTGTTATATCACCCTGAGTCCCTAAACAACAAAAAATGGCCTATAATTTATTTTACAAACGTGACAGCTGTGTCCCAGGCCTGATTCCTCTCTGCTGTCACTTACTTGGCCGCAGCATTCTTCATTCCCTCCCTCTCTTCTCTGAGGGCAGAGGCAGGCAAGGACTTGCCGAAATGCTTTATCCTCCCTTCGTTCCTTGGGCTTCCTATTGTTCCTCTCCCTTTTTCAATCTCTGATTAAATTTTGGCTTAAAACTTCTAGAAAAGAGTGATGTTTCCCAGTAGACCTTCCTTCGTGTGCCTAGGTTTTAGAGGTAACTGTTTATCTGAAAAAATTATTTAGTTTGAGGCTTAAGAGGGAGGGAGGGATATAGAGTCGTGGTTTGGCAGAAGGAAAAATCCAAGTTTCCTCTGAGACGAAAAAAAGCAGTGGGTGAGAAGCCAAGGGCAGCACCTCTGGCTCACTCTGATAGTTGCATTTGGAGTCTCTTGGTTGTCCTGGGAACCCAGCTCTGCTCACTTCCCATCCCTTGCTACCTGCCTCTGAACCCCAAGTAGAAGCAGAGATAGAAGCTCCTTGGCTTTTTCCCTGGCCAGCTTTAGGAACTGAGGCCGTGGTCCCCAGTCTAGCCCATCTACTCACTCAAGATCAGCAGCAGCAGCCACAGAAGCATGGGTACCGGCCAGGCAGAGGGCAGGACAGGTCTGCCTCACCAAAAGCCCGACTTATCTCCAGGAAAGCCAGCAGGAAGCTGCTATTCAGATGAGACTTGCGAGAATTAGAAAAGGGAAGAACTTAGTATCATATCTTGCTTTGGGCTCTAAAAGCGTGAATGTGGCCACTTCCTTCAGTGCCATTTGTATCTCAATCCTGACAGCGATGATACATTTTTCAGCAGTTTCAGTCAATCTTCTAACAGTTCTGGTCTCTCAGGAGTGATGTCTCCAAGGCTGTGCCTAGATTCTCCAGGAATGTCAAGCTGTGGATTTGCTAGTATTCAAACAACTCTTTCTTCAGTTTTCACATGGCAAAACCCCTTCACTACCTTGTCTTCACACAGCCTTTGTTTCTGCATGCAGCTCCTCATGTAGGCAAGCTTAATGGGCGTGGTATGAGTCACAAAGTCAAGACATCAAAGCATACACGTTTTTCACTTTCACATCAGTTGTCATGAGACTCTGAACAGGAAAACAACAGAAATTGACCGATTGGGAACTACCCCTAAATCTATGCAAATTAGGAGATAAATCAGCAATGTACCACTGTTTTTAAATTCAGAGTCCTTTTTGGAAAGGCCTTCCCTCACTTTTCAATCAAAGAGATTCCACCCCATTATTTTGTTTCAGGTCCTTTGTATGTTTTTCACAGTGTTTGTAATAATTTGCAATTATTTTCTTGCTTGTTTTTGTGTCTTCTTTCCCACTAACATTGAAGGGCCCCTTTTCTTACTGACTATATCCCCTGCGCCTCTAACAGTTCTTTCTTGAAAACATGCTTTTATCAAATATTGTGTGAGGGACTATTGAATAGACTGGCAAAAACTCTGAACCGGTGTTTCTCAACCATTTTTTCATTGTTGCTCCCCTAAGGATCCTTTTTAGACATTCTTGTTTTTAGCCACCCCCTTCTTCCATGAAAATTCAATACCACAAATATACTGCTTATCTGTTCATGTGCTGCCTGTATAGCTGTGTTTTATACATAAAAAATTAGACTTTTTTTTTATCTTCCCAAGAGCCAATTCTTGCCCCTTTGAGGGTGATATCACTTCTGTTAGGAATGCATGTTTTAGACTTAGAGGTAAACCATTCTCAGTAATCTAACTACCAGGATAAAGTTGTCATCATTCAGAGACCTTGTGTCTTTACATTAAAAATGGAAGATGATCTCAGACAAATGTCCCATCCTCAGGGTGGCCAACCTTTAGCATGTAATGAAAAGAGTGTCTTGTTTTTTAACAACTGTCATTCTGTTCTTTCACCCATGGAAGTTACCAAATTTTATCTTTCTCTGTATATTTATGTGATTGTATAATACCTATTTTTCTCATTAGGTAGTTATCACAAGGATTAGTCATCACAAGTCTGGTTTGTTCTTCATTTTGTTTCAATGCCTTTGTCACATACCAATCTGTCAATAAGGACTAGCTGAATGAATGACCAACAAACAGTGAGGAACAGGGTGACAACGGAAGAGGATTGGATGTGTTTCAATGTGTTCTTAGTCACTCCTGGTTAGAGATTTCTCCAGTGTCCTGGAGAAGAGGTATTGGTTATATCAGTTTATTTAAATTAAATTATTTATTAAAATTATACCTAGTTAATCCATACTACAAGGTCATTATAAGCTAATAATTTTAGAGTATGGTGCCCCTTCTACTGAGAGGTTTTATCTGACCTCCCACATTGAGGCTGGGTGTTCCGCTCAAGTGCATCAATAACACTTGAATTTCCTTCACCCCAGAGGTGATCACAGTGAAGTGAAATTTCCTAACCCCCTGGTGGTATTCCTCAGTGATCTAAGTATCTTTAGGAAAGGAAGTGGCTAGGACTTATTTTTTTATTTCTCTGGGGACAGCATGCCATCAATGAAAGGAAGGCTCACTAGAACATGGATAGCTTCAAGAGGCAGTGTGTCAATTCAGAGTAATTCAATACCTGAATAAATGCAAATTCATTTCACGGTCCAAGGTGAAGATGTTGTTGATGGCTGTGAACAGTTGTTTCTTGTGGTTGGAAAGTGATGCTCAGAAAACAGCATTTTGTATTTAATTGCTCATCTGTAGCCAAAAGTGTCACCTTTTTTTCTACTTTCCCCTCTGAAGACAGGGACCATGTCATATTCACATTATCCTAGCACCTTGCACAGTGCCTGACACTCAGTAGAACATTGCCAAATAAAATACATGGTTATTTAAATTTGCATTTCAAATAAAAAACAAATAATGTTTACTATAATTATGTTCCATACAATACTTGGGATAGGTATTAGTTCATTTTCATGCTGCTGATAAAGGCATACCAAGATGGCAATTTATAAAATACAGGGGCTTATTGGACTTACAGTTCCACGTGACTGAGGAAGCCTCACAATCATGGTGAAAGGCAAGAAGAAATAAGTCACAAGTCACATTTTACAGGAATGGCAGCAGGCAAAGAGAGAATGAGAGCCAAGTAAAGTGGGTTTCCCCTTATCAAACCAAAAGATCTCGTGAGACTTAGTCACTACCAGGAGAACAGTATGGGGAAAACTGTCCTCATGATTAAATTCTCTCTCACTGGGTCCCTCCCACAACACATGGGAATTATGGGAGTACAAGTCAAGATGAGATTTGGGTGAGGACACGGAGTCATATCAGGATATAATTACATTTAAAAAGTAGTCACTGTTTATCTGAAATTCAAATATAACTAGAAGTCCTATATTTTTATTTGCTAAACATGGCAAATCTAATTGAACAGAATAACTTAATTTATATGAATAAATTAATGAATGGTTGTGTTGGAGGGATACCTGTATTTTCTATGTGCATGCAACTCCTACTTCTGTTCCTTAATTCACTTTACCCTGGAAGAAGTGATGTGCCTTATCTGATTGGTAAATTTGGGAAGAATAAATGAGTTATGCTAAACTTATTATTATTGTTATTATTTGAGAAGGAGTTTCACTTTGTTGCCCAGGATGAAGTACAGTGGCACAATCTCGGCTCACTGCAACTTCCGCATCCCAGGTTCAAGAGATTCTTCTGCCTCAGCCTCCCTAGTAGCTGGGATTACAGGTGTGCACCATCACTTCTGGCTGATTTTTGTATTATTAGTAGAGACGAGGTTTCACCATGTTGTCCAGGCTGGTCTTGAACTCCTGACCTCAGATGATCAGCCCACCTTGGCCTCCCAAAGTGCTGGGATTACAGGCATGAGCCACTGTGCCTGGTCCTGTGCTGAACTTAGCTCCATGCTTGTACCCCTGCATGCAGCTCTATTGGTAGAAGGGTTTATGAACAAACATAGGCCTTCCCCTGTACGGGGATTTAAGTGGGCAGGGAGTGGGAGAGTCTAAAGTTCCAGAGCAAATTTTCAGAGGCACAAACACCTGGGGCATGAGTTTAGATGTAAAAGAACTAAAAACAAAAGAACAAATGTATGAGAGCTATATATTCACAAGGAGAGGCTTTTGTTGGGAACAGGTCCTGTGGTTCTCAGCCTTGGGCTTTGTTTAGTAAGAGAGAAGTACATTTTCCAGATTGTAGAGGCCAATGCTCAGCCACCTTTTTTAGATGATTACTGAGCCTGGGCAAGATGCTTGCAGTCTTAGGGCACATGGTTTTGTGACCTTGGAAGGTAACACAGCTTATGGTGGCCTTGTTCATAGACCAGTGGCTGTTTCTATAGAGGTGGGACTGTACCTGTGAATGTCAATAAGCAACAGGCACAAGAACCTTGTGAGGGCCTTCAAGATTGCTTGAAGCCCTCGTAAGCAGGGACAGACAAGGCAAGAGCTAACGTACGGGCAGTAGGTGCTTGGAAAGCCACAAGTGCTGCCTGGCAACAGAACTTACGGAGGCTGCAAGATGGCTCAACAAAGGCCCGCAGTAGGCTGAAAACGTTTTCTAGGTAGTCATAGCTGAAGCAGATAGTCTTTATGTTTTTTTGGTTTTTATTTTTTGGGGATTTTTTTTTTGTGTGGCAAAAACAGAAATCTCTATGTATAGCATTTTTAGGCACTGGTGACTGGAGTAATATTTTTGGCTCTAAGATTCCTTGTATGCTGCAAAACTCCAATAAGAATCTAGTTTTAAATTGCTAAAGTGAAGTCTAGAAAAGCTTTCACTATCTCAGTTACCCCAAATCTCACCCTGCTTTCAGGCCCAAGCAGCAAATTGGATGGATCACTCTTGAATTCAAGCGGTGTTCTCTAGGCTCAAGGGTGGAAAACATTTAAACAATTACTGACATGGTTTCAAGATTGCATAGTTATCGTAGGTGGCCTAATTTTTTAAATTATTTCATATAGAGAGAGGGCTACGCTGCCCAGACTGGTCCTGAAATCCTAGGCTCAAACAATCCATCCACCTCTGCCTCCCAAAGTGCTAAGGCTACAGGCATGAGCAAACACACCTGACCAGATACACTTTCTAACTGAACTAAATGTAAGTGCAAGGTGAAAATATTCCCTAGGAGGCAGTCTTCTTAGGCCAGTACAATTCCATATCAAGCAGAGGCTGGTCTGCTCATTTGAGAGGGTAGTTGCTATATCACATAAGAGGTCCCTTGCTGAACTCCGAGCTGAGGTGTCAGAAGCACTTCATTCGAAGGGGAAGTGAAAACTAAGAGGCTTTGAATAGATTCAACGGAAAAGAAAGACACAAAATGTTATTTTAAGGTAGATTCCTTCAATACCTAGTTTATTGAGAGTTTTTAACATGAAGAGATGTTAAATTTTATTGAAAGCCTTTTCGGCATTTGTTGAGATAATCATGTGGCTTTTGTTTTTAGTTCTGTTTATGGGATGAATCACATTTATTGATTTGCATATGTTGAATCTTGCATCATGGGGCACGAGAAATCCACAGACAATATCGTACTCAATGGGCAAAAGCTGGAAGCATTCCCCTTGAAAACCGGCACAAGACAAGGATGCCCTCTCTCACTACTCCTATTCACATAGTATTAG